AAAAAAAATTTATTTGTTTCAAATAGTTTTTTCACATTTAAATGAATATAAAATGTCAAAAAATACGAAATACACAAAACGAATTGCCAGAAAATTGTCGGTACGAGCAATTTTTTTCCATTTCTATTCCCCTTGCCCCTCTCTCCTACAAACAAAGACTTGCCGCAAGTAAACTCGCCTAATCTAAATCAAGACGTAATAAGTCTGCTTTTCCACAGGCAGATTTTTATTTGGCAAATTTTTTGTTTTCTCTTTTGAAATTTTCGCTTGCTTTTCCATTAGCAAATGTTTTTTGCCAAATTTGCGAATCAAAATACAAAAGAAAGAAAATAAAAGTCAAAAGTGTTTGCATTTTAAAGATTTTTTTTTAATATTTTATTTATTTTTTATATATTTTATTATATAAATTGCAAAAATAAAAAATTAAATTTCACTTGCACAAATTAAAGCAACAGGTTTGTAAACAAAAGCCGGCTATGTGTCAGTAAAGCGAATAGATTCAAAAGGAAATGTCAACAAAACTGTTTTCAACGAACAGAGCAAAGCAGAATTTGCGTGTACGGCAAATTCTGAACAGGCAAATTTTTGTTTTTCTTCCTCGCACCCCTCTCGCCTACAAACTCAGTATTTGCCAGATAAAAATTTGTCTGTGGAAAAGCAGACTAAGGAATATTTAAGCTTAGTTTGATGCATTTTAGAGGCGAAATACAGACATTTTGGGTGAGAATCTGTCTCTCAAGAAAAAAATTTGTAAAATTATGGAAAACCCAAATTTGCCTGATGTGCATCTTAACAGTGAAAAACTTAAATAAAAATTATGAAAGAACAAAAATTATTTTTTTCTTCAAAATTATCGTGTGCATGATTAGAAGGAAGAAATAAAGGAGTAGGAGCAAATCATAACATAACAGGCCACTATAAGAATTTGGGGAGATAAAATATCGGAATTAAATAAAAAGGCACACAAAAAACTGCCCCCCCCCCCAGGGGGGCACCTTTGAACATGGCTTGTCATTTTTGAATGGCTTGGTTTTTTACAATGTTTATGTTAAAATATAAATGTATTTTATTCAAACATATCAAAAATGCATTTATTCATTAAAAAATATAAAAAAATGTTCAAAATTTAGAAAAATTAGATCAAAATTTATTAAAATAATTAATATGGTGAAAAATACAGTTAATTTCGTAATCTTATAAGCCCATTTGAAATTTTGAGAAATCGAAGCCAAAATTTCAAAACTCCGTTTTTTACTCGAGTTTAATGGGCATGTTCAAAGGTGCCCCACCCATGGCATTTTACGGAAATTTATAATAACCTTTTTTGTAATAAATATATATGAATAAAATTAGATTAATTATGTTTGAAATGATTGTTGGAATGCAAAAAATTTGTTTGACGAAAGAAAACTATCACAGAATTCTTCCTGCGCCCTTACAACCAAATGAATAAAAGTTTACAATGACACTGCGAAAACATGGTCACCCATGCACAATTTGTCGACAACGGAAAAAGCAAGCCAAAGTGGTTTACGCAGATAGAGAACAAGATTGCCATATACAAAAATGTGGTTGCGGGTCGGAAAAATGTTAAACAAAGATTTTATGAGCGCTGTTCAAAGGTGCCCCACGTTCAAAGGTGCCCCCCTCTCCCCTATATTGAAAAATGTTACACAATTAAATTACAATGGGGCAACACACATTACAACTTAAATTACAATATGACCACACCCATTGCAACTTAATTTACGATATGGCAACAGGAATCTTTTTTCATTATTTGGTGCACACTAAATATGAAGTGAGAAAATATATGGGAGCAATATTTGCATCTGAACAATTTTTTACACAACGCAATATTCTAAGCTTAATTTAACACCTCAACAAGCCATACTAAATTTTGAACGTTTTTAAAAATTGGTGTTAAACGAACAAGCACGAAGAGTTTAATGCTCAATTCACCTAAAATATAAATTTGAACAAATTTCATTCAAGCTTACCAGCCGATATTGTAGGCCCATTTCGATACGTTGCGCATAATGTTGTGCCAATCGGACACACATTAAATCTTTGGTGCACAATTTACTTAACATTGGGTGTAAATATCGGGTATGTTCTGGAACTGTGTGTTCTTTACACTTCACCTCCGAAGCTACCTCCTGTTCTACTTCTCACGTGAATTGAAATTTTCGTTTTCAATTTAACACACAATCTGCTAAAATTTGGACGAAAATGTATATGGGGGCTCTTGAAATCTGAACCGATTTCAATAAGACTTGACACACCTTAGGCTATCTTATCTCCAGTACTTTGTGCTAATTTGATTCTTTGGTGCCCAATTTGCTAAAATTCGGACGAAAATACTGCTAATAAATGCGCCAAATATTGGCAGCCCGCGTCAAGTGGTTCGCCTGTTTATGAATTTATCTATATATATAAAATAGCTTAGTGTTAAGTGAGTGAGTGACTGACAGATCATCGACCAGACGAAACGGCAGAAGCTTGAAATTTTGAGGGTGGGTTTGTTGTTGGTGTGTAGGCGTGAGATAATGCTGGGTTTTTGGAAATTCGAACTAGAAAGGTACGAAATGTACCAAATATGGTACACTTTATTTATTTATATATAGCTAAAATAAAATGAAATTATATATGGAATACAGGTTGGGAAGTGGGGTGATGTATGGAAATTGTTTAAGAAATTCGTACGTAATGGCAATAAATTTGGTACTATTTGCACTTAGTTGAGTATATAGAGATTAATCCTGAAAATCGGAATTAGGCCTACTATTGGAGTGCAGGATTGAGGTAGCTTTAAAAATCGTACTTATGTGTACGAAAAGTACTAAATGGTACTAAATTAGGTGCAAGTTGGATTTAGGTGAACATATAGAGCTGGAGTCTTCACATTGTGAGAGTGTAGTTTAGTAAATTCGTACTTATTGGTACGAAAAGTACTATATTAGGTGCAATTTGGGTTTTGCTTGAATGGATAGAGCTGAAACCTGAAATTTGGAATTAAGACTACTGTTGATGATTGAGTTATAGAGACATCTTTGGACATTCGAATTTATGTGTACGAAAAGTACTAAACGGCACTAGATTTGCTACAATTTGGATTTAGATGAACGGAGAGAGCTGGAAACCTAAAATTTGGAATAATGGTTGCTTTTGGAATATAGGATTGAGATATAGCACCATAGTACTTATGTGGTACTATAATTGGTACAACTTGATTAAGTGTGAATGGATAGAGTTGAAATTACTTTTAGAGTGTAGGATTGACGTAATTTAGGAAATACTTAATTTTAAAAACAAAAAGTACTAAATGGCACCAAATCGTTAACAACTTGTTTTTGTGTGAACGGATAGGGTTGAGATCCTGAAATTTTGAATAAATATTACTGTTGGAGTGCAGGATTGAGATATATCCGTAGTTTTGAAAATTTGTCATTACGTGTACTAAATGGTACTAAATTTTGTGGAAATTACAGACAGTGTTGAAAATTCAAAATTATAACTACGAAAAGTACTAAATATGGTACAATTTGGATTTATGTGAACGGATAGGGCTGAGATCCTGAAATTTATCATTAATATTACTGTTGGAGTGTGGAATTGAGGAAGTTTTAGAAATTCGTGATAAATGGTACTACATTTGGATGCTGGTGAACGGATAGAGCTGGAATCCTTAAATGTGGACAAAAGCTTTTTTTGGTACAATATGAATTTATGTGATCGGATAGGGCCTGAGATTCTGAAATTTATCATTAAAATTACTGTTGGAGTGTGGAATTGAGGAAGTTTTAGAAATTCGTGATAAATGCTGCTAAATTTGGTACAATTTGGATGCTGGTGAACGGATAGAGCTGGAATCCTTAAATGTGGACAAAAGCTTTTTTTGGAGTACATGACTGAGGAGTTTTGGAAATTCGTACTTATGGGTACGAAAAGCACAAAATTTGTTACAATTCGGACATTGGTGAACGGGTAGAATTCGAATCCTGAAAGTTGCAACATAGGTTACTGTGGGACTGTAGGATTAATATGGGTACGAAAAGTACAGAATGGTACCAAATCTGGTAGAATTTGGTTTTTGGTGAACAGACAGAGCTGGGATTCTTAAATTGTGACTTACGATTAATATTTGAAAGCAGGATTGAGGTACATTTGGAAATTCATACTTATGAGTACCAATTTGGACTTTGGTGGAATTAGAATTTCTGTTAGAGGGTAAGATTGATATTTGTCAATTATTTACGCTATTATGCCTCTTTCGTAACATTAGTGCCACAATCGATGGCATGTGTTGCAAAAAACGTCATTTTTTATCTGATGTTTTGTAATAAATTATCTTTTGAATAATGGACTTCTCTTATACTCCCGAATTTGAAGATGTTCGAATTTTCTTTATTATTGATTGAATTTTTGGTTCTGCATCGTATATGTTGTCGACGAATTTCAGTTTCTTTATAGCTGATTAGAGCAATTTGAGTTGCTTTAGTTTAGGCCTCCAGTGTAAGTGTTCTTGTAATTTACCATTTTGAATTTTTGGTTCTGCATCGTATTTGTTGTCGACGAATTTCAGTTTCTTTATAGCTGATTAGAGCAATTTGAGTTGCTTTATTGTCTGGTGTATTCGAAGATGGTTTCTGTATTCTTGATTGAATTTTTGGTTCTGTATCGTGTTTGTTGTCGACGATTTTTATTTTCATGTCTGATACGGATTCAAATTACGTAAATATTGATACGAAATATAACGATATTTTATTTTAAAATTTGTCTATAAAAATTTTGACAAATATGAGAGTAAAATGCATACAATAAAACATTGATCAGCATGTGGAAAATATTCCCAAACCGGAAGCACGTTTTGTTTTCTGTACAAAATATAAAATATATCAATAATATTTTTTTGCAAAATACGTTGCAAATTTCTTGTATCTTAAAACAAGACACGAAGGAATTATTAGTTTTACTAGTATCATAAAGCAGCTAATTTCTTCTAGCTCCAGACATCAGCAGAGTAACGCTTTTGGGCCTCCATTTTTTTTATATATTGCACAGCATCTGGCTCGCTCATATTGCCCTTGGTTGACAAAATTTTAACTAAAATATTTCTAACGTCAACAGCCATATTTTTAGCATCTCTGGAAATAAAAAATATGAAAATTTGATTCAAATTACTTTTGTAAGGAGTGCTATAATTTACCCGCAGATGTAAAAGTGTCCTTTTAGTTCACCTATAACTTTCCAAATTAATTCCGCATCTTGTTCAATTAAATGAGTGACGTAAATTTTTTCTTGTTGGTCTCTTGAAAAAGCAGTTTTCAAAGTTAAAGTTCCATTTTGTACGTATTGTTCCAATTCTTCTCTGTAAATGAAGTCTTCGTCCTTCTTCCTACATCCGAAATACAATATTGTATCGCCGACGACTTTACCTCCGTCCCGCAAATGTTGTCGTTCTTGTATGAATCCTCTAAATGGAGCTAAACCAGTTCCAGGGCCCACCATTATGATTGGGATCTCGGACTTTGTTGGTAATCGGAATTGGGATTTACGAATAAATACGGGCACTTTAACATCACCCTGTGAGGGAACTTTTTCCCTCATGTATGACGTAGCCACACCTTTATTGACGCGACCAGTTGGTGTATCATACTGGACCAAAACCGCAGTGATATGAACACTAGTAGGGTACAACTAAAATCAAGCATTAATCTCTATCCTGTAGTTTCGAGTTAAATGATATTTACCTTAGAAGATGATGAAATCGAGTAGTAGCGCGGTTGAAGACGTGGTAGGAGTTCGCAAATATGGTCAATTGGAGGTTTGCAGGACCTAATATCCTCCAAAATGTGAACTATATTTCTTGAAGAGTTCTGGATCCAGTTTTGGTATTTTTCTTTCCCCTCTGGAGTAATAGACGCCATACTCCGTAAAAATTCCTTGTCCTTTTCTTCGGCGCAATATTCTGCTAACTCTTTTAGAATATGCGTTCTTGGAATAGCAGTAATTTCCAAGTAATGAGTCAATGCAGTACGATATGTGGTAGGACAGGGGAATGGATGTTTCTTGCTGCTGTCCGTATCGGTATTTATCAGAGAAAATACTGTATCCAAATCAGCGTTACATAGTTCACCCAATTTTTCTACCAATGTCTTGTCGTTGATTGGATACATTGCTATGTGGTCGCCAGCATCATACCGCATTTTTGATCCTTCAATATCCAATTCGATATGCATACACGATCGTCCACCACCTTTATGCAGCTCTCGGTTTACAACTACGGTGGCCAAAAATGGATTTTTAGCATCGAAGGGAGGCCTTTGGTTTTGCATTGAATGCAACCGAGCTATTTCCCCAGTATAAATACGGTCTGGTTGGACATCTGGTTGTTCCAATAGTCGGAATTGGCGCATTAATACTTCTTCGCCACTACCTTCAATTCCATAGAAGTCACACACCGATGGCCAAAATCTATCTTTCCATGTGATGAAATCGTCTTCGATACTAAAAAGTTGTCCAAAAAATAATAAATGGAACTCATCTTCACAGAAAAAACAACGAAACAAAACGTTTTCAATTGTTTGTGTCGTACATTTTTGAGATCCAAAACCAAACAAAACGAAACCCCATATTTTTGTTTGTTTGTGTAAAACTGAAAAATATTCACAACAAACCTTTCGACCTTTTCTTTAAAATTGTACTTATATTCCTACGAGGCGTGCAAAAATTAATAAATTTCCCACTTTGGCAAAATGTTCTGTACTGCTGTATTACCCAATTTTTTACGTGGCTATTTAATTTATTTTTTAAGTTGCAACTGAACTGAATATATAATTACCAATAATCCACCGTACATCATAGCTACTCTAAAACGAATACGCAGTCACTTACACAACATTCAGAGGCAAACTTTAACTTTAAATGTTAAATAAAACCTTCGACTTTGATTTACCATTTGCGGAAATTTAATATTAGATATTTTTTAAACAATATTTGATATTTTAAACATGTTTAAATCTGCATTATATGATGACTTCTCAAATATAACCACTATATAAACAAATTATTACAAATAAATGATTTAACACTTTCAAACATTTGGAATTTAATTATGTGGATGCATTTTAAAACCTTCATGACATCATTGCTGCTCAAATATGAATTATTTAAAGAATAGAATTTGATAAACACAATACATTGAATGCATTATTAGTATGATTCTACGCAGCTTAAAATGATGATTCTACGCAGCTTAAAATGATAACCAATTTTTACAAATCAGGTAAAGCAGAATCATATAAATGATTAAAAATGTATATAAAAAGATCAGAACAGATTTTCGGAATAGTGTTGAACCCAAAAAAACATTTAATTTTTTGGAAGCACATTAAGTAAACGTGTTACTCTAACTGTAAACAATTCACTCATATGGGGTTGGCCCTTTTGTTGATTTAATCCATCCGAATGAAAAAAAAAATATTTTTTTTCAGAAACAGAAGAGATTGAATTACTTTGTAAAATAACACAAAAATTCTGTAATTGACAAAAACCGCGTCGGCGAATCCATATCTCGAAGCGAATCCTAGACTTATTTTTGGCCATGAAAAATATAAATTATTTTGTACACATTAAATGCAGTTTCCGTAGTGGGTTTCGTAATGTTGGGAACTTTCCAAAAACTGTATAATTAGATATAATACATTTTACTTACTTTGCATCATCGTCTCCTAGACCTAACTCGAAAACTCTAGTAGCTCCAAGTTCTTCCAACCGTTTGTCAACATAGATTGCAACTTTGTTATAATGTTCATAGGTTTTGTTGCCCAAGCCAAATACCTGAAAAATTTAAATAGATAGTTTAATGAATGCATAATACAGCAAGTAAATAATAACCTTTCTTAATGCAATATTCTTATCACCACCCATAATCAATTCCATGTACATACATGACTACATGTACAACGTATTTTCAAGGTCAAGTTACAATTACCTAATTAATGAGCAACGAATGATTGTCTTCCTTGAGACACCCACAGTGTCTCTGTGTTAACAAATGTGCATACCACAATCATTCATACGCGAATATTTCAAATGTCGCCTTGGAAAAGTATACGATGTTGAAGTTTTTATCTTTTCGGTAGATAAACAAATTATAGGTAAGCATGCATTTTGTTTTCTCTGCCAATGACTAGCAATATTCAAGAGACCCTTCAAATATTACTACAATTTGAAACTGCACGTCTACATTCATATTTATGTGTGGTTCGTACACTTGTTTTTGGAAACAATTAAAAAGAATATTATCTGATAGTAGTAAGTCCATTAATAGTTAAAAACCAACACTTGTTAATAATCGGTGACGTACGAAATCGAAAGAACTTATTTCCTTATTTTTTTAAATGCATCATTTACCCGCTTGAGTGCAGGAGCGAACACCAAGTTTCCGTAGTAACCAACAATTGACGACAGTGTTACATAAAATGGGTATCTGCATTGTGGTATAAAATATAATGATCTTAGTAAAGATTCTCTCCTAAGGAGACACAAACGTACAACGAAGTACATGCTATACCCGATTTCCAAAAACACTTTTATTTATATTGTCATGTTTACGAAAGATGTTACTAAACACACGCGACTTGCACTCAACTCACTTTCGGTCTGCAAACATGTTTTCTATAACAAGAAAATATAGACTTAGTGCGAGCAGTATCGTACAGTAATGACAATATTGTACTACAATCAGCTGTTTGTGAACTTTGAATTAGCAACGAGGACCAGGGTTGCCACCGCTATCGCACAAACGCTAAACTATTGTCATACCAATACAGATTAAAATTGAAATTTTTTTTAAATCCTTATCAGTATCTTCTACCTAAAACTACTACAGTTACGCTATCATACACTCTCAAAATAATTCTGTTCAACCTTCGTAAATTTAATTGATATATGTTGGTAAAACTTGCTGGACAAATAAAGTTGATAGGAAACCAAACGATACAACAACCACATACACATTTGTTGTAATACTCGTGTCAACGTAATTTAATCGAAAAATTTGTAAACAAAACATACAAATTATAAAAAAAATTATTTATTTGAAAAAAGTAATATCTCTGAATCCCCATAATAAAATTTGAAAAATATGAATGAAAATCTATATAATCTATCTATCGTATGCAAATGCTGAAAATTGCGAGTTGTTCTATGTAGATTCATTGATGGGGCCATTTTTAAAAACATGTCATATATATATTTACTACAAGGTAGGGCATTGCTAACCACTGAATACTAGTCGAATAAATTCAAATAAAAAAATAAAACTTTTTAATTTGTATATTTTGAAAAAATATTTCTTTTTCATTATCAGCTAGACTGTGAATAAATTTCAAAACGGATACATAATATTTTAATTGTGTAATGAACATGGTATTATCAATAATCGTTCAAATTTTTGCGGAGTCATTGTCCTTAACTCCGCCAATCAGTTCAAAATCGAGATATCGAAGGCCAATGGTGTTTTAAACCAATTTTTTAAAACTTATTTGCCACCAAAAATGTCTCAGTGGAAAATCCCATTGTTTTTATGACGAGTCAATTGTTCATTCACAAGATATTACATTATCAAAAGGTCAAGACGCTTAAACATGACTATTAAACTAATTGTCACATAAGTGGAAAATTAGTTCGTTTGTAAAATACCAAATAACAATGCTCAATACCAGGAATAGGAGGTAAATTAAAAGCTTTGATGACAAGGTAAAAAGCCAAGGACGTTTTAAATCCGTCTATTACACAAATTCTAGCTATTGAAAATTTATAATTGTTCAACAAATAAGATGTAATTCCATAGTTTTGTTAATGAACTCAAAATCGAAAGATCGTATTTCCTATAAACAACGATTTATGTATTTAAATTTGATGATTCTGTGACAAAGCTTCTTCATTCCTTAGTAACCGTTCAGGGCGATGAGACGGCATTTTAGAAAAGTAATTTCATACCTTCCCTTATCAATTCATTATCGAAATACTAAAGAGGTCATATTAAAGCTCAAGATGATCAACACTAAAAATGTGAAGAAATTCAAATTTAAAGCTTTGATGATGGACGTAATGTATGGAAGTACAAATCGATTGAAGAAATCTTTAATAGGAAAAATGGATTTCGCTGGATCTATGGACAATTTCATTGTTACAAACAATCGAGATAATGTATTACCAAGCGGCCAAGGATGTTTTAAATCAGTCTATTAACCTTATTTTGAAGTCATACAAAACTCTACTAAAAAACAAACGAAAAGTGAAAAATTAAGCGAATTTAATTACAGGCCTAATGAAGAGAATGACATGCAAATTGGAGGTTTGGATCAGCATATATACAAATATATTAGCAAAGCTAAGCGTGTTACGATTTCAAGAATTCCACAGTTACTTACAGCGTAGTTTAAACCCGTTAAATCAACTTCACCATTTGTAATCCATTCGTAGAACTCCATGGCGTTATCGGTAGGATCGCCTTCTCCATAAGTAGCCAAACAGAATACAGCTAATGAGTTGGGAATATCCTTCATTTGCAGCAATTCTTCCTGTAAAATAAATACTACATATAAGTATAATGAAAATTATTTATAAAAATTTTTACATTTGCATTCTGATATAGGCATAACAATGACTAAAATATTACAACTGTCAGAGTAGAATCTTTCAAATCTATGAAAATAAACATAATTTATAACATTATGTTATGTATTTATTTCATTCTAATTAACGTTTTGACTTTCGAAATAGATACAGTTAAAACTGAGAGGGTCCCTTAAGTGATAAGTATATTTGTAGCAAATTCGCCATAGCCAAACTAATATATAAATGAAATTTAAGAGTTTAGACCAAATAAATAGTTGGTTATAAGAAGAGTAAAAATTTGTATGCTAAATATGTAAAAAAAGCTGCTTGAGGATTTATTTGATATATCGCTAATTTGCTGCAAGAGAGGCATAACTCAAAAAATGTGATTTTCGAGTTAATGATGCACGGTTGTTCAGTATAATAGACCTCATGTTGTGTAATTCATATGCATATCTCTTACACACTCTAATTGAGAAGCTGTAGAAGTTCCTCTGGCCCATATAAAGTGTGAGTAAATTGAAAACTTCAAACCCATTTTCTGCAGAATCATTTTTTAGTTATGCCTTTCTTGCAACAAATGAGCGTTATATTTAATTGAATTTACAATATAGATCTACTGGATTTAATAAAACCGGTACAATGTAAACGTACTACAACTTCGGTGAGGAATTTCATCCTCAGTATTACGTATATTAGTACCAAGTTCGTCATAACCATATTAATATATATGAAAACTGAATGTTGGGACCGAATAAATAGTTCGGTTTAAAAAAAGTTGGCTATGTTCGTAGTTCGTTATAAGAGTAAAGATTTGTATGAAAAATATGTCGTAAAGTTTTGGGACCAGGAAAAGTGTTCGCTATAGATGAAGTTTGCTACAAGCGTACTCGACTGTATTCACATTATGTTTGTAAAAAAATATATATTTTGCACAATTAAAACCTGCATATTAAAATATATATAGTCCTTGATAGTGAATGGTTTAACTAAAACCATTCAGATTATTTCTAGGATATTAGGGTGTGATATAAAGAAGACAATCTGGAAGTAATTACTTTGTTATGAATGAAACAAAAATTTCATAGTATTTTATACTGGATTTTGGAAAGAAATCACAACATTTCATTCATTTTTCGCGTTTTTAGTTATGTGTTAAAAAAATGTCAAATAAACACAACCACTTGTTGCGTCTATTTATTTTATATTTTGGCAGATGAAGCCATCACTTACATAGTAGCTTTTTGGTTATTCAACGCAAGCTGCCCTATCTTGTATTATTATACCATAGATGGCAGCCTTTGTTGCCAAACTGTGAAATTTAGTATGTATGCTTACCATATCACACTCTTCTGGATCAGCCACCATTCCCTTCATACGATAACGTAGGCCCTCCTTAGCCAAACGTCCAGCAAATTCTTCAGCTGTTCCAGTTTGTGATCCATAAAATACAACCAAGCTGCGACCAGAGGCTTTCAATTTTTTTATGAATGAATTTTCTGTTGTTGTTACGGTGCTAACTGTGGTTGGTCTGAAAACAAAACAGTATGTTATACAAACATATTTAATTTATATTTAAAAATAATACATACTGTATGGAGTAGGATCGAATTGGAGCCTCTTCCTTCTTACGGCTTCGCATAAAGTACCATGTTGCTCCAACAATTAGGACTACAAGTAGTGCTATATCTAACGTGCCCAAAAATGGTTCCTCGGAAACAATTTCTTCAATTTTTTCCTGACTCATTTTATCTTATTCTGAAATATAAAGTTGGAATTTTGTATGAAATTCGAAAATTGTATAAGTTGTTTACTATTTCATTGATAATTGATGATCAGCTTGAATTTTGTTCTTCTTGATTCTGTTTATAACATATAGTTATGTCTGCAATAATGTAAATAACAATTAACAATGTAAATACAAAAACAATTAGTTGCTTTATGAATAAAAAAAAAATTCAACGCACTATACAACTCCATTAATTTAAAAGTAGCCTTAAATAGTAAACTACTCTTATACACAATATAATTCATCAACGTGTAGTTCGGTCCAAAATTATGAAAAACCAAAATTTCTAATAAAAGAAAATATCATTGTTTTATACGAAGAAGGATCACGGTACCATTACCGTAAATATATATATATATATATATATATTCAATAAAAAACATCCAAATCATTGTTTCATACGAAGAAGGATCACTGTACCATTACCGTAAATATATATATATATATATATATATTCAATTAGAAATATCTAAAACGGTCAAGTTGAAATGATTTTAAGTGTGCATGTATCACACAATCGCAGTTTTATTATGTGCTTGACTCGGAAACCAGACGAAGTGCTATATCTAATTAAATATTTCGATTATACATGTATATATTTGTTTGCCTCCTTGATCAAAAGTCATATCATCGTACATTCAAGTGAGAATAGCAATAGCGATGGGGCAAGAGAGAGATACGTGTTGCCCGCCTTTACGACTAGGTCTGTGCACATTAGTCCATGCGTAAGCATGATTTGACTAAATTTTAATACATTTATTATCTTCATTCTGTAAAAGCACGAATCAGCGGAAGTAAATGCTGACGACACCTCTATGGAATCGAAGGTAGATAGATCGGCGATTTGAGGCGCTCAATCGACGAAGTCCGATATTAACATATTTACAAAGTACAATTATTCCATCGTCTACTAGCAATTGACAATAACGAATTCCACGGAGAGATCGTTAATGCTACGGAATTGTGGAAGGCCGAGTATCGACAATTTCTTTCCGATTTATCCCCTCTCAAATATCAAATAAATTAAAAGCAAAATATTCTCCGTACAAACGCTGTAACACAACTTTAGCTTACACATTTATATGCAGTTTTATACATACACATTATACACACTGCTAGAAAACACACGTCCGCATTTACGAATGAATACCTTGGTTTGCTCAATCTTACCCGAAGAAAGGGGCAGGGGGTTTAAACGAACTTTAAACTGGCCAATCTAACCTTGACCGTCGAATACACGAAACAAAATGAAACACGAAATACAAATGATTGTGGAAAAGTGAATACTGCGTATCTATATACACATGCATATGTTTGTATATATGTTTACATTTACTCAAAAGCTCCGCACTTTGCAATCTTTGCCGATTTATATGGTTTCTTACATAAAGAGAATAATTTCACCAAATCATACCTGTTGCCTAAAATTGCAATTCGGAAATATGGAGCTGTATAGTTAACTAGATTGTGTTCTTTAGTCAGACACAGCACGTCTATCCTAATTTATAGTTAATTAATCCCTTGTAAAGCGATAACAATATAATGAAGATCAACACCAAATGAAAGTCCAATTATTGAATTCGTGAAAACGTAGCGATGGCACGCACCAGACGGATTACTGTCGCACGTCGTCTTACCGTGTATGTTGAAGTATGACTAAATGCACAACTGATACAATTTAGCTGTAAGCGTAAATTGTAGATAACATTTGGTTGAGTGGCCAGATGGCTAATCACCTGGTTGTAAAATAAGAATTTGCCCAAATAAAACAGCTGTGTTTTGATTTAAGAGAATAATGATTTGAACACATTGGCAACGATAAGTTCATGGCCCAATTATATGGTCGAAAGCTTCATGCAATAATAAGGTCAAGGTATATTTAATAAGGTAGCCGCATCGGCCCAGCTGTTGGACAAATAAATGTCAAAAATGTTGTTGTAATGTTGAACCAAAAAATTAAAAAACAAAATTATAAATGAAAATCTCCGAATTTCGAAGAGCTTTTTTGGCACTACTTTTATTAACATTTTCTACAAGAATTTGTGTAAAAAAACCTGGTCAATTTGTTTGTTTTTGCAAAATATTTTTGACATATCAAAATACAACAACCGATGTTTGTTGTAGAAATTCGCCGATGCGGCTACCTTGTATATCTACCTTGAATAAGGTGATGAATCAAAATAAAAACATTTGTTTTTCTAATAATATTTCACATGGTTGGCAACATTGTACATTGAATTCATGTAGAAACAGCGTGACCGTTGTACCACCAAAGTACCAATTTTGATACTTTTGTTCGGCCTTGCCACTCTTGCGCCACTTTTTAATTTCTATACCAAATGTGCCAATTTTTTATTAAACGGCATATACGTTAGAACTTTTTGCCTGGTTAAACTACTTTATGAGAATATTATTTGACATATATACAAAGGAATTGACAATTGAAACCCACTGGGTTAACGAAATCGGGTTAAATGTAAACGTGCTATAATGCTGCAGACGAAGATATTTACTGATCAAATATTTATGCGGAGCGTTTTTCAATTAGTGTTATTGTAATTACTTGTAATGGTTGGCAACACTGCACATCGAATTCAAGTGGAAATTACCCACATTGACAGTTAATCGAGACATCAGCTGCGCTAAATGGACTATCTATTTATTGTGCCATGGTACAATTATGCATGGTAACTGCCAAACTACAACAAATACAATTCATTCAAGTCACGCGTTAACGCATCAAAAGTTAAACTATGTGAAACTTCTTTTGGCTGCACTCAATAACGCGCACCGACTCGCGTCAAAGTTAAAAATTTTTTAACTTTCGGCGTCATGGCGCGCGTTTCATTTTGACATTTGTATGTTGACATTTCAATGTACAAAAAAAAATGGCGGCAATTGCATTCTATTGTTATTCGAGCAACAACAAAAAAATTACCTCTAAAATAAAATGCGGAGCGTTTTTCAATTAGTTTTATTGAAATTACTTTCGAAACTGTTTATTAGAATTTTTATATTTTATGGTACAGGGCATGGTATAATTAATACAAGGTAGGGTACAGCTACCAACTGATTAGAATTTTTTCTCAAGGTGGCTTGTTCCATCAAATCAAAATACATATTTTGTGTATGTGTGTGTCTTGTTTTGAATACTATGTCAAATAAATTGAAATATGTATATTCAAATTTAATCGAAATGAAAATTATGTTTTTAACATGTTTGTCTGGAAGTAATTATTTTGTTATGGATGAAACAAACATGTTATGGTATTCCCTACTGGATTTTGGGAAGAAATCATAACTTTTCATTCATTTTCATGTGTTTAGTTTTGTGTTGAAATAATGTCAAATAAACACAAACACTTGTTGCGTATATTTATTTTATTTTTGGCAGAAGAAGCCACACGTGCATAGTTGTTTTTTTGTTATTCACCTCAAGCTGCCCTACCTTGTATTATTGTACCAGGGTACGATGCAATAATAACAGGTACAGGGCATGATGCAATAATAAGATTATGTATCAAAACAAAAACCTCTGTTTTTGTCTCGACCTTCTGTCAAATTTTTCCTTATAATATTTCACATGATTGGCAACTTTGCACATCGAATTCAAGTAGAAATTACCCACTCTGACAGTTAATCGAGACATCAGCTACCTAATTATTGTGCCATGGTACATGACATGGTACAATTATACAAGGTAACTGCAAAACTACACCAAATACAATACATCTATACAAGGTAACCTCTGTTTTTGTCTCGACCTTCTGTCAAATTTTTCCTTATAATATTTCACATGATTGGCAACTTTGCACATCGAATTCAAGTAGAAATTACCCACTCTGACAGTTAATCGAGACATCAGCTTTTATTGTGCCATGGTACATGGCATGGTACAACTATACAAGGTAACTGCAAAACTACACCAAATACAATACAACTATACAAGGTATACAAGGTCATGCAGTCATATGTTTCCAATTTTTCAAAAAAATTGCTTTTGAAAGCTGAATGTTTCAAAATTTAAACGAAAATATCTTCCTTCGTGCCGTACACGCAAATTCTGCTTTGCTCTGTTCGTTGAAAACAATTTTGTTGACATTTCCTTTTGAACCTATTCGCTTTACTGACACACAGCCGGCAATTGTTTACAAACAAGCGAAAATTTCAAAAGAGAAAACAAAAAATTTGCCAAATAAAAATCTGCCTGTGGAAAAGCGGACAAAGTAAACGAAAATATCTTCCTTCGAAATGTACGCAAATCTTTGAATCATTTATATTTATTAATATTGCAACATTCTTAGTTAAGTCTTGGGAACAATATAGATCTTTAGAAATAATATTTGTTTAATTTGTTGAAAATTTGCCAATCGCCATGCGTAATATTTTATGGAATTTATTTTTCATTTTAATTGAAATTGATATATGATTTCCATATTAAGAAGGGTTGCCATTATCAATTTTTCAAATGAGACTACCTTGTATAGTTATGCCATGGATATAAAATATGATGTTACCACTTATATTTATAGATTATAGGAACTTCAAAATATTAAACATCTTTTTAATTATTGTCATTGAACATGTATTGTGCGTATATTTCGAAGGCGGATATTTTCATTTAAATTTTGAAAGCTGTTGAGAGCTTAATTTTTTTTAATTTCTTGAAAATTTGCCAATTGCTATGCGTAATATTTTAGGGAATTGATTTTTCATTTTATTTGAAATTGATATATGAATTCCATATTAAAAAGTGTTGCCATTATGAATTTTTCAAATGAGACTACCTTGTATAGTTATGCCATGGCGACAAATGTATTTATCTACCTTGCTTTCGACCCATGGCATAATTATGGCAACTCTTTTTAATTTGTAACTCTTCATGGCATATTACACAAAGTAATTTCATTTGAGAATTTTATGATGGCAAACCTTTATAAATTGGAACTATATCTATAAATTTTAAATACATAAAATGAAAAATAAATTCCATAAAATGTTATGCATGTCGATTGGCATATTTTCAATAAATTAAACAAAATATATATTCTAAAGCTTAACATTGCTCTCAAGATTTTACAAGCTTTAGAGGCAGGGAACTTCAATATATTTATAAATTTAAATTATTTAGCAATTTGTCCACTGAACACATGATATGCGTACATTTCGAAGGATGATATTTTGATTTAAATTCTGAAAGCTGAGTACTGCCAAAGGCAAATCTATCTAATCTAATTCTAATCTAATTCTGAAAGCCCAGTATTCGGCTTTCAGAATTTAAACCAAAATATATCAAAAGCAAATTTATGAAAAAATTAGAAACATATGACTGCATGAGAATACCTTGTATAATTATGCCATGGTAACTCATATATCAATTTCAGATAAAATGAAAATGTATATCGATTGGCATATTTTCAAAAAAAAAAAAAAAAAATCAAAAAATACAAATTAACTTATATGTGTAGGTTTTAGAGGTAGGGAACTTCATAATATTAATAAATATAAAAGGTTTATAAATGATTGCCACTGAACACGGAATTTTGACATAATGTTGTCAAAAGCTGAAAAATGTTGGAATCATATGTCAGCATGAGACTACCTTGTATAATTATGCCATGCCTTCGACCATGACACAATAGGTTGTCAATTTAGCGCAGCTGATCGCTTAACTGTCAAAGTGCGTAGTTTATACTTGAATTCAATTTACAATGTTGCCAACCATGTGAAATATTATTAATTTAAATATTTATAAATTTAATTTATTTAGCAATTTTCCACACATGATATGCGTACATTTCGAAGGATGATATTTTGATTTAAATTCTGAAAGCTGAGTACTGCCAAAGGCAAATCTATGAAAAAATTGGAAAACTATGACTGCATGAGAAAATATATTTTGTTTACTTTAAGGAAAATTTGCCACTCGACATACATAATATTTTATGGAATTTATTTTTTATTTTATTTAAAACTGATCATGGTACAATTATAAAAGGTAACAGCAAATCCCAGCTGATTTGATTCCAACGTAATACTAGTGTCAGTATGAATTTGACAAATTATGTTTATAAAAATCACTCAACAGGAAAATTGGGAACGCATACAATTTGAAATTATTCTTTATTAAATATGCTCCCGTATTCAATTTACTCAAACTGCCTGCTGGGTATATGTGTTACACATATATGTGGCAATGGCTCAATTATACGAAAGATGTGGAAGCGATAGAAATATAAATTTGATAGATTTTCATTCATGTTTTTCAATTTTATTTTGAGGATTCGAAGATATTTCATTTTCAAAATAAATATAATTTATTTGTTTGTTTACATTTTTCTGTCAAATGAAGTTGACACTAGTATAACTTACAAAAACAAATTTCCATGTTGTACAACAACACTTGATGTTACCTTCTATTATTATACCAAGGTGTATTAAATAAGGTGTAAGTGACAATCATATGGTTTTAAACTTTTTTCTTTATTGTTTGTAAAGTAAATTGTCAAAAACATTTCCAACAATTAATTACGATTTACAAAATTGTCTTTAAATTTAGGGTTTTAATAAAAAATATGTTCATAATGACGGACGAAAAGGAAACCTTGACTTAAATCAGATTTAAAACCGTTCGCTGATTTGATCCAAATAGTTTATGTTTTGTATCCCGTGTTCAAATCTGTTCATAAATCAGAGCTAAACATACGTAGCCTATATTGGAATCTGTCCCTTGGTATCTCCATAAAATCTATCCAAAGGTGAAAGTCTTTGATATACTCCTATGAACAGATTGTACAAGGGCAACACAATTTCCTTGATTTAGTCTTTGGGCGGGGATTTATGTCTACCAAACTTTCATTAAGGAGGCGAAATTTGAAGGCAAAAAAATTGTAATTTACAATATAAGCAACATATCCAGGAACCAAGGGCTACACGTTGGAAACTTTTCACAAAAATTCGTGACCGTGACTTTACTCCCTAACGTAAAATTTGCCAAAAATCCAAGAATATACAATTTTTTTATTTTTTCATCAAAGAATAGTTCTTGACAAAAAATAATAAACATAAATGGATAATTGTTTTTGTTTATTTTTGTCAAAAACTAATTGTCAAAATGACAATTTAATTTCTATAACAGCAATGTTGTTTTTGTAAAATGTTAGTTGTTGTAGCTGATGCATACACCTTATTAAATACACCTTGTATTATACCATGAAAACTGATAGATGAGTTCCAAATTAATAAGGGTTGCCATCATCAAATTCTCAAATGAGACTACCTTCTGTTATTATGCTATGGGTGTTTATTAAACAAAATTATGTTGATTTAAGAAAAAATAAAGGTGTTGTTTTGTTACTAGGTTATCTCATACGTAAAATACAAATGCCGATTTGAACACAAAAACTAAAATTTACTAATTTTGACTCATATAACGAATTACATATGGATGAAAAATGTGACAGCATATATGTAAAATACATACCGTGTAAAAGCACCATATCATATGTAAAATTTGACAGTACATATCACATTGATGGCTTGTGTATCAAAGCCATTAAGGCATTTCATAATGTGTACCTTGATCCCTACGAAATTTTACATTCATTGTTATTCCAATACATCGGTTTTTGCTGCGCCAATTTAAACAAAGGAAGATTTCTCTTATTTTGCAACATTGCACGTCGAATTCAAGTGGCAACTATGAACTTTGACATAATTATAAAGTACCCTCTTGATTTGGCATTATTGATTAGTCGAAAGTCGATTTACACAACTCTGGCTCTTTCAATAAAACCATGGCCTATAAATAAGGTCACCAAGATAGCAATCGAAATCGGAAAACAGCTGTTTTTTCTCAAGTCTAATGTCAAAAATTTCGACTTTGTTTACGTTTTCATAATGGAAGTCAATTCACAATAATGAATTTTGACAGCAAACTTAAGAGGTGTCGATAATCAGCTGGTCTCCCTTGGTGACCTTATTTATAGGCCATGAATAAAACCATTTATGTTATTTCTTCTATACCATCCTTCTAAACATGGCGAGTGGGACGGCGTTATGCTTCACACTCATTCGTAAACATGACGGGTGCCTCATTTCCGTTTCGATATGTTTTTTATCGGCCATTCTCTCCCGTCTCCCCTATTCGCAGCATACGAAACGTTTTCAGATTAGGTCGGCCAATTTTCTTTCTGGCTAAAGGCGAGCAAAAAGTACAAACCAAACACCAAGGCTCTCAACTAAGAACGTGTTACAAATATTATATTTTTTAATATAAAATTAAAAAACAAAGTGCTGCTATGAGTTCCGGTTTTATTACCGAGTCAGAATTGGCGGAGGCTAGAAAACGTCGCCAAGAAGAGTGGGAAAAAGTTCGCACAGCCGATCAGCCGTTAGGTAAAAAAAATTGCTCACATTGTTTGGCAGTGATTTACAATTTTTTTATACTCTAGAACGGCCGGAAGAATATGATAGCAGATCTCTCTATGATCGGTTAAAGGAGCAAAAGATGAAAAAAGATTTAGAGTATGAAGAAGCTCACAAATTAAGTATGTACATTTACGTATAATTTCTTTACTCTAAATATCGCAACATGTATATAAAATACTTGTAATAATGGTATGGTGATGACCTTATGTGGAACTATATATATGGCATATGATTTGGGCCGGGTTAACTCTAGTTGTTATTACAAAACTATAGTTGTTCCCATGGATCGACATTGGACAGGACATTTTTTTTAAGATAGATCAGGTCTGATAACTCAAAAAGTGTAGACAACTTTAGTTTGTAGCAAAATAGGGTAGGTGATCTTAATGTCGGCTGGCAGCATATTTGTATTTACAGCCGAAATCGTTTATAGCGATATATTGGTTAAAATTATGGTACCCAAAAGTTTTTCATTTCTGTTATTCATTTGATATCGATCATAACGACTGTCGGTTATAGCGACCAATTTCACCGGTCCTTTGACAGGCGATTTCGACTGCATGTATTCCAATTCTTGCGGAAATCGGCATTTCCGGAGATGTGGACCTCTAAAGTTCCGTTGTCACCCTTGCATTTTCACATGACTTTTTTAATAAGATAATTACATCTTAGCAACATGCATTTATATTTTTAATAGAAAATATATGGAAAGGCATTACTAATCGTGAAAACATATTAAAACTAAATACAATATTTTATATTCATTTAGCTCACAAAAATATATAACTTCATACTCTTAATGTAATGCGTATATATTATATGTTTTTCATATAAAAAATGTGTATTTCAAATCAAGCCTTCTATTTTTAGATTTTTTTAGTTATGTATTTACTACAGATTTACGTATAGACAGAAGAAGGTGGTAGAAAACTTTCTTTCAGCTGATGCTGTGGTTACAATATATTTATATTTGGAAATAGATTTTCGTCACACTACGATCGCATTATGTGGCTTTGATGCGATTAGGTCGGGCATCTTTCGCATTCCACATAGTGATCCGAAAATCCACTTTCAGATATTTTTCATAAAATTGTAAGATTTCTTTAAAATTTTTAAACCATTTTCTAAAACGACTCCTTTGATCAGATTTTAATATAGCTTACAGATTCATTTTGAAGATATTAAATTTTAAATTGGAAAAAAAGTTTGTGTTTGCTAACGTTTGCCAATAGTTGCTGTTGTAACAGGTTGGCTGTTGGTGAAAGTTCTTTCCTGAAAATATTGATAGGAAATGGAAAATATAATATTATCCGGTTACCGGGAGAAACTGTGCCACCTATATAGGCTTTAGTCATAAGTCTATTGGCAATATACTTGTAGGTTCGGACGGATAATTGAATATATGGTGTATGTCGTGAGGGCTTTGCCGGCAGGAGGGAAACGTATTTAGGATTCCGGGAACAATGCGCTCTCGATACGAATTGATAACATTGCTGTTGAGGAAAGAAATCCAGACTGGGGCTGTATAATTAAGGATTGACTGACCTTGTATATCGATACAACTTTTATTTATTTATTTTCAAATTCGTGAAGCCTAGTCTTTCGACCTTAAGGCGGTAAACTACATTAAAATGTTAAGTAACACAGTTTAATAACAATTATAGTAAAATAAGTTTTTAGGGGGGTGGATGACAAACTACTCAAAGTGGCGATTACTATGTACAATAAAACAAGTAGAATTATAAATGTAAATTAAGGTAAAAAATATTAAAAATACAAATTTCATTCTGACAAATTGAATTAATATTGCTCTAAAAGGGATGTAAAACTGCTCAAACAATATTATAACATAAATATATAAAATTAAAAAAAAAATATTTAAAAGGGAGGGATTGAAACTACTCAAACTTCTTAAATATTAACATTAATTGGGCAATACCAATTTAATGTGAGGGGTCGGAACTACTTAGCTCTCTTAACATATTTATAGTTTGTTATACCTGTTATTGTTGAATAAAAATTAAATTGATTGGAAATATTAACAATTTAGGGATCGGAACTACTTAGCTCTCTTAACATATTTATAGCTTGTATACATGTTATTGTTGAATTAGAAATATTAACAATTTAGGGATCGGAACTACTCAAAAATTTTAAAAATATTGAACATAAATTGATAAATAGGGTGGCATATTTTTATATTTATAGGAAACATTAAGAATAATTTGATACAACATATTGTAAAAGTTTCATTCGGGAAGTGTATAATGAAAAATTAAAAGATCTTAAAGGCAATGGCAAGCCATTGTACGTCCGGGCAACTCTGACGAGAAATGATCGTTCCAAAAAGGGCGTTAACATTGGCATGTGTATCTGTGGATTCCTTAGAGATCTGGAAAATCGAAATTCATTTATGAAAAAAAAACTAATCTTGGTTTTTATAACCTTTATAAAAAAACAGCATGGACCGAAGTCTAATGAAATCAGCCAAAGTACAGCCGAGGAAGTCTATGACAAATGGGGTAACATGTTACCAACGCTTTGATGAGTATATATACCTCATCACTCTATTAAAAGCGATCTGCAGCTTCCTGATAACACAACCAAATGTCCGTGAAAAAAACTTCAATGCGGTATAAGATTAATGGCATAATTAACATTTTCACAATGTATTTCCTCATTTCAACAACAAGCCAAAGCTCAGAACTATAAAGCTTCCTCAACATGTAATTTATCTTAGAAACCAACAAGTTAACATGAGACTCAAACATCAATTCCCTGTCCAGTACAACACCAAGATATCTAATGCTCTCCACAAATTCAATCTCAATGTTATCGAACTTGACTATTACTTCAACCCCATCACGGGGACCAAACTTTAATACTTTCGTTTTATTCGGATTTACCGATAATTTATTGAGAGACATCCAATTATTTATTGTAGAGATATAGCACTTTGCATAACATCAGGGAATGCACCATCACACTTAAACAGTAGTTGAATATCATCATCAAATGAAAAGGGCTGACAATTGTTGGAAACGACTAAATCAAAAAAATCATTTATAAACATTATAAGTAGAAGTGGCCCACTGACCCCTGAGGAACACCACTAGTAACAGTTAAAAGATTAGATTGTTTGCCACTAGCGACCACATATTGAAATCTTTTCTCTAGGTAGGATTTTATTAACAAACATGCTGTTTTAGAAAATCCGAAGTGGCTACATAACTTAACAATCAACAATTCATGATCAAGCCTATCAAAAGCTTTTTCCAAATCAATTGAAAGAAGAATACAATATCCCTTGTTGCTGGCAACTTGTCGTATGCTATTTGTAAGACTTACCAGGAGCGAAGTCGTATTTCTTTCACGCCTAAACCCATATTGGGCATCATGTAGCAAAAGGGGATATGATATATGCTCCATGATCTGTCTTTTCATTATGTGTTCAGCCATTTTGGAAAGAATTGGCATAATTGATATTGGCCTGAAATCATTTGGTGCATCAGATTTCCGAATTGGAATTATTTTGCCTATTTTCCACCGGGATGGAAAACAAGAGGTCATAATCATAGTATTAACAACATTCTTTATACTTGGCCCAGGAGGTGCCAGCTAAAGCTTTCAGAACTTTATTCCCAGCATTCACCTTCTGGTTGATGTAGTTAGAATGCGTGGAGAAATGGAGGAGGTTATTGAAGACCACCCAAGGATTTTCGTATTCAAAGGACATGCCAAGTTGTAAATTGACTTCTCGCGTCCAGGAAGTGAAAAGTGAGACATTAGATTTTGCAGTGGATAATTTTAGATTGCGCTCCCGGAAGGCGCACCTATGAGATTTGATTTTTGGAAAATGCCCTATTACCAAGTTAGAAAATATCGGAGATCTTGACCGATTGTATTTAGTAAAGTTCCTACGATAGCTATGCATTAAAGTGGATAGCTAACGTGGAACGTATTAGATTATTACTTTTTGGGTTTTTGTGCCCGCCATTCGTAAAAAAACTTTCGAAAAAAATGTTTGAGAATCACCGTGTGTATATTGTAAATGACATCGACAAACCCCAAAACTGTCCTGTGGGACAGCTTTGAACATTATGACTTCGTCAATTAAAACAGTAATAAATATTTAAATCGTTAAAATTTATGAAAAGTTAAGTTAGTGAATATTGACCTATATCTATAATGTTGATTTTTTCGAAAATGGTTGAGTATGTTATGAAAGATCAAATGTGCTAGTCTGTATTGGCGAAAATTCTCTTTTACATAAGAGCCAGTATGGATTTTGGAATAATCGCGGCACTGCATACCTCCTTGTTGAATTGACTGACAATATAAGGAAGATTGTTGGTGCGGGAGGTTGCTGTGTGTTGTTGTCAGTAGACTTAGAAAAAGCCTTTCACAAAATTAGTCATGCTAATTTAATCAGAAGATTGCATCGTTTGTTCAATTTTTCGTCCTCAGCCTGTAAACTTATTACGTCGTATTTGTTCGGAAGGAAACAGTTGTTTGTTGTAGGAATGTTCTTTCTGGAATGTTCCCAGTAAGTAGTGGTGTAGCCCAGGGGTCTGTTCTTGGGCCTCTGTTGTTTGTTATGTATATTAATGATTTACTAAGTCGTATTAGTAGTAGAACATGCATGTCATTTGCATTTGCTGATGACTTACACTTTATATTTAAAGGAAAATATGTGTTTTTAGATGTTTTGCAGCCCTTTACATCTTAATATTAATGTATTAGTAACGTGGTTATCTGCAAACGGACTCTCAATTAATACTCGAAAGAGTAAAGCTAGGTTTTTTGGGAACTTGCAAGAGCATTCAATTAATGTTTCCAATTATAATAATGTTCTAAATGTTGTAAGCTCAATGAAATTTCTTGGTTTGTTTCTTGATAGTAGTTTGGTGTTTGATGTGCATGTGGGGTCCAAGGTAAACTTTATTTTAAGAAAGTTGTACTCTTTGCATAGGCTCTACCTAAGAGCATTGTAGTCCTTGGCCCTATTGCTGATCGCTACATCAAATAATCTAATTATAATAATACAAATGTTTTTGAAGTACAAGGGTTCTGATCCCCTCCAACTGAATAGACGTTAAGATATTATTAAGCTAATACA